AAGCTGGATCCTGCGGCATTCCTGCGCCTACTTTTGGGAGCAGCCTCCATACTCTCCCACAGTGACTGCACCGATTTACACCCCCGCGACAGTGCAGCAGTGGCCACCTCCGCGCAACACGACTTGCTTCTGGCTTTTCTGATAACTGTTCTACTCGCTATGCGGTGGTATTTCATTGCGGGTATAGTTTGCATTTCTTCGTAAGTAAGTGATAAGGAATATAGTTTTTATATGCCTGTTGGCCTTTTGTATTTCTCATACGGTTTTCAAGAAGGCTACATGAGTTAAGGTATAGTGCTCCCCCTCTGCCCGGGTTTTAGAGTTGTAGTCCCTCAACTGCAGCTTCTTGACTAGCTGGCCACCATAGAATCACCTGGGGAACTTATTAAAAATAAAGATTATTGGACCCCACCCAGCAGTGTTTCCCTGTAGATCTAAGGTGGGGCCCAAGAATGTATTTTTATTTTTCAAAATAGGCAGTGTGCACTGTACAAAAGATACAGATGGTTGTGTGGTGAAAAACAATTCTCCCTTTCCTCCACTCTGTATCCATTCACTTTTCTTTCCAAGAAGCAACCGCATTTACCAATTTTTTGCATCTTGTACCAGATGTATATTTTGCATTTACAATCATGCAGGCATAGTTGGGGGCGCATCACCCAAACTGTTCTGCACCAGGCTTTTGTCCCTTTCCCACACAGCAGAGGTCTCTGTATTCCTGCTTAGAGAGCTACTTCTGTCTTTGGAAAGGCACCTCATAGCAGCTTGTAAAAGCGCTACTGGGTATTTTAATGTGGACTCATTAAGGGAGTTAGAAAAAGTTTTCTTGAAATGTTAATTTCTTAAATCTTGCATTTCACAGCGGAAACTGGACTTAGCAAACATTTCTCGTACTTACAGATTCAGGTTGTTTTAGAACAAAATTTTACCGGCTTCTTTGTTGCTACAGTATTGGGTAGAATACTTAGGGCAAAAATATGTGAAGATAGTAGTGTACAGACTGATAATATACTTTTAAAGTTCTTCCCTTACTTACTTAAGGACATCTCCAAGCTAACTTTTATGAAATTGCCTCGTTTATCCTCATTATGGTAAAAATTTTCTCTCCCAAGATGATTTACAAAGTTCTCACTTCTTAAATTCTCACTTAAAACTCATTTTAGGATAGCACTTATTTGTTCTTTCACTGGTTATAAATAGAAGTATGGTCTATCTCCATGAAATAGCAATACGGTTTGCATTAGAGTTCCTTAGTCTCTATAGACACATATTACATTCTAGTTTATAGTTGGACAGCAGAAAATAGATTGCTAAAGAGGAGTAGAACAAGCTTAAGAAGTTGAAGGTCAATGGAAAGCCCACAGGAGGGTGACATTTCACACATGTAAAGTACCTTTTCTTTAGAGATAATTTCTAGTAGAAATTTTGAGTAGAAATTATTACTTTCATGAAAAAATATTTATGCTTATTCATAAAGACTGAACTCATTTACCTTTTACATGTCCTGCTCCGTGCATTTAGGGGTCAGACGGTGGCAAGCAGAACAAATGTGTTTTCAAACTTGGGCAGTGTGAAGTACACTCGATGTTTCTATTTTGTGTATTCATCTTGAAGCAAATTTTATTAGAAGCTCGTCAACAGGATTTTCAGCTTTCTAAGGATTGAATTTTTTTTATACTACAGTTTTTATTGAGGTATAACATAATTTTAGGTGTTCAACATAATGCTTAGATATGTGTATACATTGTACAGCGATCACAATAATTTGGTTAACATCTGTCGTCATCCACAGTGACAATATTTTTCTTACAATGAGAAATTTTAATATTCTCAGCATCTTTCAAATGTGCACTATAGTAGTACTGACTGTAGTCACTATGCTGTATATAACATCCCCGTGATTAAAACTGGAAATTTGTAGCTGTTGATCTCTCTCTCTCTCTCTCTCTCTCTCTCTCTCTCTCTCTCTCTCTCT